TTAAAAAAACCTTTTGTTTGAGGAACTACTTTGTTCAGCGTTGGATTCAAATCATAAGCTGACAGTTCAACAGCTGAGCAGGCATCTTTTAAACTTTAGATCTGTAGTGTCTGCTTTTTGCTGGCTGTTTGTGGGCAGAGTAATACACAAAGGGTAAAGAGGCTGTATGGGTGCTGATATTACTTATATCACGGCTATCAGCCAATCAGATTCGAGAATCAGACAGAACTGTTGCATAAATATGTATGAATGTGTGTGTGTGTATATGTATATATATATATATATATGTATATATATATATATATATATATGTATATATATATATATATATATATATATGTATGTATGTATATATATATATGTATGTATATATATATATGTATGTATATATATATATATATATATGTATGTATATATATATATATGTATGTATGTATGTATGTATGTATATATATATATATATATATATATATATATATATATATATATATATATATATATATATATATATATATATATATATATATATATATATATACAGTATACACAGTTCAGTCAGAATTATTAGCCCCTCTTTGAATTTTTTTTCTTTTTAAAATAACCTAAATGATGTTTAACAGAGCAAGGAAATCTTAACAGTACTTCTGATAATATTTTTTCTTCTGGAGAAAGTTTTATTTGCTTTATTTCGGCTAGAATAAAAGCAGTTTTGACTTTTTAAGGAAAAAATTATTAACCTCTTTAAGCAATTTTTTTTCGATAGTCTACAGAACGAACCAAATTGGGGGGAAAAAAACAGGGCGAATAATTCTTACTTCAACTGTATGTATATGTATATATATATATATATATATATATATATATATATATATATATATATATATATATATATATATATATATAAGAGATCATGTTGTGACCCCTTTAAAGCCACATTTTACTTAATTAAGGTTGTTTACAGAGTTTGCCCCATATAAACGTGGTTAAAGAGATAGTTCACACAAAAATTTAAATTCAGTCAATATCCCTCCATTAAGACTAAATGTATTCATACGTTACCGCGTTGTACCTAAACACACAGATCACATATTAACATGGTAATGGGTTTCAGTTTACTTTGGCTAGTAATAAATAGCTGCCATTTCTTCAGTTCAGCACACTGGAGCTCCTTTACAGTAAACAATTGAGTAAATATTACATCTGCTAGTTTCACTGAGTTTTTTATTAATGTATTTAATACTGTAAACCTGCCTGATGTAAAGTAGTCTTCACTGTACTCTGTTCAGATGCTTTTGAACAGTAATTGCTGTTATTTTCACCACTGTCTTTTTCGTTGTGTGTTTACTTTGTTTCATGCAGCACATATTTTAGACTTTTATCTACATGTGGGCTGCATTTACAAACACAGCTCAGGAATTTTAAACCTTTTAAAACCATTAACCAAAAAACTAAAGACTTTAGTATATTGGAGTTTTATAACATACCAGGCACAGTTATCTTAAAAACATAGCAATAACAAATTAATTTATATACAAAATTAATTGATTTACTTATTTAAAATTGTATAATGATACAATAGTTCAGCCCATAACCAAAAAAACTGTCTGTGAGAATATTAGACACTTAAAGTATACCAGGCACTCTTTATCGTAACATCACAGCAATAACTCATTTATTTTAATACAATTGTAATGCTGTTGTATTATGATTGTATTAAATACAGCATTTGGAACCCGTAAGCAAAATATAAAACACTTTGCTGTGAGTATTTTGGAGACTGAAAGCATATCAGTCACTGTTATTGTAAAATCGGAGCAATAACAAAATTGATATACTTATTTTAATACAATTATAATTGTATATAATACAATATTTGGATCTTATTAACCCATAAACAAAAGCAATGAATTTTGACACTCTAAGTATATTGGAGACTTAAAGCATTCCAGTCAACTGTTTTCATAAAATCGCAGCAATAACAATATTAATACATATATTTTAATACAATATTTGGAACTTTTTAAAACTATTACCAAAAAAAAAAAGTGAGAAATATTGTCTCAGTGATGCATTGCTGCCAGACATTATTTGTATTTATTTTTATTCTTTATTATTACTAGAAAATATGTTGTTTAAACGTCATAATATCTCATTATTAGGACAAAATGTTTTTTAAAGAAATAAAATCTTATTATGACAAACAAGACATTTTAATAATAAAATGTTCACTTTGTTCATCTTAGTTAATGAAAATAATTCATTGTTAGTTCCCGTTAACTCACGGTAACTAATGTTAATCAATATGAATATGAATGTTAATGACGCATTAGTAAATGTTGAACTATGATTAATAAATGCTGCATAAGTATTGTTCATAATTAGGTCATGTTATACATTAACTAATAAAACCTTATTGTAAATTTTGACCAAAAATGATGTTTGGGGCAACAATGCACAGCTGTATTTTAGACACTTAAAGCATACCAGCCCCGGTTTATCACATCAAAACTTAAATGTTGATTTAATTTCTCTCTCAAACTACGCTGTCAATCTCAAGTATGTTTCTGTAAATATTCTACTGCTGTCCCTTTTGTCTGTACTATACAAACACCATTAGCAAATCATTGCAATAATAACAATCAGTACAAGAGTACATGAAATATCAGGGAAATGTACAGTATAACAGTTTTTCTCATTTGGTTTGGCTCATTTCTTGAATCAGGAATTAAAGTCTCATCACTCTAAGATTGTTTTGTAAAACAGTTGTTTTGTCTTGCAGTTCAGCACAACACTTTAGCTCACTTGCAAAAGCTCATATCTTTCCCAAAACTGTTCTCTCGTGTGTCAAAACTAAATTTCCTTCTCATTTAAACAGTCAGAGCCCCCAAAATCCTTTGTCACTTTGGCAATGCGTAAGCACAGCAAGTCAAAATGTTTAGCTGTTTTGTCACTACCAGTGGTGTAAAGTAACTAATTACAAATACTCAAATTACTGTAAATAAGGAGTTTTTCTCAGGAGTTGTAATTTACGGAGTAGTTTTAAAGATGTGTACTTTTACTTTCCCTTGAGTACATTTTTAGTACTTTCCTTCAACCTGCAGTCACTACTTTATTTTTTCTTGTCTGTGGGTATTAAAACAATCAGTCCTGTGAGTCCTGTCCAATTAAATCACACATTGAAAGTAAATCGCATCATAATGAACTACCCAAGAAATGGGTGCTTTATAATTGCAGCAAACTGTTTGGAAACATTAAAATCGTCCAAGAAAATGTCTTAAAACTTTACACGCATTGACCCGGAGGCTGTTTAGATGCATATCACTGATGAGAAGATGACTGATGTTTACTGCATGATGACCGAAATGGCCTTAAACACCCAGCACGCACAGGACATCACCATGACCCCAGATTGACATTGTACCCCATCATCATGGAGAAATTGCGATTTTTTTTTTTTGGAAATGTAAATCAGGTTGACGTCAGAACTCAATGTCGGGCCAACGTCAATGTCCAACCTAAAACCAACCAAATATCAACGTCTAATGATGTTACAGCCTGACGTTTGTTTGGACATTACCATTATGACGTCTATCAGACGTTGGATAAATATCAGCATTTGATGTCAATATGATGTTGGTTTAAGATGTTGGATTTTGGTCACTTTCTAACAACCTACTGTAAAATCAACCAAATATCAACATCATTTATTGTCAATATAGGACATCAAAATAATGTTATCCTTAGACGCTGGTTAGACATTGAATTTTGGTCACCTGACATCATGACCTAAATATAACCAAATATTAACGTTTTATAACGTTATGTGCTTGCTGGGCAATAACTTGATGCACTACAGAATGTTACGTTTACACACACATACACACGCACAAATTACATGTAAACGCATCAGCTATTTATAGCATAATACTCAGTATTCGCTACTCTTGCAGTACTTTTGAAAGGGCTACTTTTTACTCATACTTTGAGTAATATTTACAACAGATTCTTTTACTGTATTTTCACTACATTTTTGGCCAAGTAATGGTACTTTTACTTGAGTATGATTTTTTTAGAACTCCTTCCACCACTTGTCACTATCGCTGAGAACCACTGAAATATCCCTCATATCCACCTTTCAGTCTTAGCCAAGTTTTTGAAACTGGTTTCTCACTCTGTTTTTTTTTTTTTTTTTTTCTTTTGACAAAATGCAATTGTGTATAAAACTAAATGAAATAAATTTCTAAAAAGAATTTCAGTTTAAGAGTAGCCTCCAAAGTTTGACATCCCACAATGCACTCATACTGCCAAGGAAATTGGAACCACTATCAGTCACACACAAAGTAATTTCCATACATCAGAATAAAACAAAATAAACTGTAATATAAACACACAAACAAAAAACAATGAAAATGAAATGCCGCCCACAGTGCTTGATTGCTCATCTGAGATGTGTGAAATTCCTCCTTTGTTAGTCAAATTCCAGTTTCACCTGACTGTCAGTTGCTGTAATAAATGTATCAAATGTTCCACATATTCATATATGGTATTCATGGTATTATGTTCTTGACTAATTTTGACAATTGAACAGACAATTGTGCATGTGATGACTTATACAATGAAATGACGCTGACATAGTTTGGAGAGATCAACTATTGAGCTGAGAATCAACAATCAGTTTAGATCAACAAGATCTATTCACTTGGAAATTGTGCTAAATGTCGGCTACCTGTACCGAATCATTTGCAAAGATGTACTTAGACATTTGCAATTTGATGAAATGAATGAGAAAATCGAGTCAGTTCTGAACAATTGCCAAGTGGTTTAGAGGTTCGTCCATGTTGTTTTGAGAATGTAATTTCTGTTTTAAGAAATGAGCCAAACCAATAGAGGAAAACTGTAACACTGCACAGAAAAATAAGATTGTGACTACTGAAACAACACTTTATGAATTAATATTGCTCACATCATTCATAAATGTAAAGTGAGACACTTTGAGCATATTAATAATAATATTAGGCTTTATTTAAAATTTTTAAATGATAAAAGTAATATAAAGCGTTGCCAGTACAATGTTAAGATATGAGAATTCAGGGTTTTGCCTTCTGCTGACGGTGTGATGTCTTTGGAAAACAGGTCTAACTACTAATGAGCTCCAAAGCGTTTAGTTCATGTTTACATAATGTTGTTGCACTTTTTAAAAGGCATCTATTCTTTAAAAATACATTTAAACTGTAAGATGAACTGTTTTGATTAGTATCTTTATTTGTGTTTCTCCAGGTGAACTGTAGGCTTTTTATTTTTGCAATAAAACCTCCTTGATGCTTCATGAGATTTACTGTAGCTCATTTACTAGTGGACTTTTTCAGCTTTCTTTGGGATGTTTTCCACCATCCGCCCACAAACACTCCTTGTTCTCCTTCCAGCAAGGCTCCCCGGACTCGTATATTTCCTGACAAGAACAAAATAATTACAAACATGCTGCAAACAATTGCACAATGTCATATACGAAAAGAAAGAACTAAACTTTGGTGGTAAAAATCAAATAATAGTTATTATATAACTATATTTTCTTGCAGACACAAAACTTTGAAGGGTTCCACGAACAGGCTAGAGTCAAACAACTTTGAAACATTTGTTAAATAAAATGAATGAGGTATTAGAGACACAAATATACTTTATTCTGCTGCGAGCACTATTTGATTGCATGCAATTAACCTAGCATCAAAAACAGCTGCTTTTAAATAACAAACGACTGTTAGTCTTTTAACTGTATCCAATTATGATGTCAATGTCATGATTCTGACCAAATGCAGACATTAAATTCACATCATGATGAACTAATTCTAATATGATTAAAATATAATGTGTAACATTGCTTGACACCTAGAACATGAACACAATACAAAAACTCATTTTGTCATTGTTTTTACCAATTGTCTAGCCCTGCATTTAACAACATGATTGAGAAGAAAAACAGGATGAATTCGTTTTTGATTTGTGCATCAGCTACAAGTTAAATGTAGAGGAATAAATGTCTGGGTCAGGACAGTAGCACCTTTATATTATATATATAAAGTAGGTTAATTAGGCAGGTTAGGGTAATTAGGCAAATTATTGTATAACGATTTTTTGTTCTGTAGACTATCAGAAAAAATATATATAGTTAAAAGGAATTAATAATTTTGACCTTAAAATGGTTAAAAAAAAATTCTAACTGCTTTTATTCTAGCCGACATAAAACAAATAAGACTCTCCAAAAGAAAAGAAAATATTATCAGACATGCTGTGACAATTTCCTTGCTCTGTTCATCATTTGGGAATTAAATAAAAAAGAAAAAATAAATCAATGGGGGGCGAATAATTCTGACTTCATCGGTATGCATGTATGTATGTACGTATGCATGTGTGTGTGTGTGTATATATATATATACCAGCTTCAGCCTTAATGATACTAGTAAATATTTACCACTTTATGTGATAATTAATTTATGTAATGTCTCTTTTTAGTTTTTAAATCCAAAAATAACAACTATAAAGCTTAACATTTTTATATAAGCAGAAACTGCATTTATTTTGATTTATTTTTGTTTTGTTATTAATTTGTCTGTTCACTTACATGATGCTGCAAATTTCTGAAAATGTGTTTCAAATAGACAATAACCATTTTCAATGTGTACCGCGCTTAGGAAGAGTCAAGGTTTTTAAACGCCCAAAATTTTCTGCTATACCGTTCCTAAGGTTTTTATGACAACAGTATCTCCAGCAAAAAAAAAAAAAGATATCAAAAGATGCCGTTTTAAATTGTAAAGAAATCTGTGTTTTTGAAACAAATAACAGTAGCAGAAGTCAAAGATCTATTTGAATTGTTAAGCCTGACATGTTTACTGCTCCAAAATACTTTAAATGTTTCTCAAAATAAAATATATTGTTGCCAAAGGGGAAAAAAAGTTTTAGTTTTTACTCAGACATTTAAAAAGTATATATTTTAGAGCAGTAACCACTATAACCTTATACTGGACCATGCCTAGTTTCAAAGCACAAGTTTTTTGAGAGAAAAAAAAAAAAACACTATAGGGTGGCTGAGAGAGCTTAACGTGCTGCAATTACAAAAAATGCCAGCAAATTAAGAAAAGATCTTCATCCGTTTGACAGCACACATGCTACAAATTCTCACAACACAAACAAAGATATTAGTTTTTTCTTCTACTTTCGGAAATTGTTCATGTTGTGAGAAAATGCATCCTGTTTATGTAAATTGTTTGGGTTGTGAGAAAATGCAGCTCGTTTACATAAATTGTTTGAATTGTAAGAAATTGCATAATTTTTTTGTAAATTGTTTGCGTTGTGGGAAAATGCAGCGTGTTTATGTAAATTGTTTGCGTTGTGGGAAAATGCAGCGTGTTTATGTAAATTGTTTGCGTTGTGGGAAAATGCAGCGTGTTTATGTAAATTGTTTGCGTTGTAGGAAAATGCAGCGTGTTTATGTAAATTGTTTGCGTTGTGGGAAAATGCAGCGTGTTTATGTAAATTGTTTGCGTTGTGGGAAAATGCAGCGTGTTTATGTAAATTGTTTGCGTTGTAGGAAAATGCAGCGTGTTTATGTAAATTGTTTGCGTTGTGGGAAAATGCAGCGTGTTTATGTAAATTGTTTGCGTTGTGGGAAAATGCAGCGTGTTTATGTAAATTGTTTGCGTTGTGGGAAAATGCAGCGTGTTTATGTAAATTGTTTGTGTTGTGAGAAAATGCAGAGCATTTTCATAAATTGTTTGTGTTGTGAAGATTTTTTTTTATTGCATGCGTTTTCTTAAGTAATTATGTGTTAATTCTATGGTCGCAACAAGCTTCTTTACAAAGAGACATCACGACCTACTGGTCTGGCATGCAGAATCCAGATATTTTAGTCATTTTCGTGGATCTGTATTAAGAGGGATTGTTCAACAATATTCTCAAGAACATTTTTTCCATTTTTACTACAGTTTTTGCACACTGTTAGAGTATGTTCAAACCTTTTTCCAGATTGGCACAGTAGCTTTGAGTGTGTCGATGCAATATTTGAGCGCTTCCAGGGAGTCACTTCTGTGCGGTGATGAGATGCCAATAATAACACTCGCTTCGGTTACAGAAACCAGACTGTGAAAGAGCACAACATGTACTTTACAATAGGGATGAAAATGACCACAAATATTCAATCATTTACCCATAAATAAACTATCTTTTAAACTGTAACCATAATAATGCAAGACGTCATTGTCACTGGCATCACAGGATTTGCATGACAGTCGAAACACAAAAGAAATCTTAAAAGGAATCAGTGAACGATTATTAAACCATTGAACTATTAAATGGAATGACTAATGGTCAGATGCACACACTGGCAACCTATTTGTCCATAGTTTGTTACTGTAAGTCTGTTGTTTCCTTCTTAAATGTGTGTAGTATGCAAAAAAGATGATGTTTAGTCATGATGTTAAAGGGTTATGTCATTTAGTTATGATGAGCCCTCTTCATCTGCCTTTATGCACCCCACATGAATCATATTTCAATATTTGCATGTGTTCATGTGCTAAATGTACTGAGTGGGCAATGCAGTGGCGCAGTAGGTAGTGCTGTCGCCTCACAGCACGAAGGTTGCTGGTTCAAGCCTCGGCTCAGTTGGCGTTTCTGTGTGGAGTTTGCATGTTCTCCCTGCGATCGCGTGGGTTTCCTCCAAGTGCTCCGGTTTCCCCCACAGTCCAAAGACGTGGTACAGGTGAATTGGGTAGGCTTAATTGTCCATAGTGTATGAATGTGTGTGCAAATGAGAGTGCGTGGATGGTTCCCAGAAATGGGTTGCGGCTGAAAGGGCATCCGCTGCGTAAAAATGTGCTGGATAAGTCGGTGGTTTATTCCATTGTGTTGACCCTGGATTAATAATGGGACTAAGTCAACTATAAAATGAATGAATGAATGAATGAATGAATGTACTAACTGATTTACAGTAGATGATATACTAATCCATTTAAGGCAATTGAAGTTCAGATAATGCTGTTCACAGTGGACACAGCACATTTTAACAGACTAAAACAACACAATGAACAATACTTGATTCTGATTGGTCAACCACGACATTCCAAAGCATGTTACTCCCCGATAACAACCGATTACACTAATAACACAGGCTCATTTGAGGACTTTGAATGACCTTTACCATTTAAATATCCACATGTACAAACATACATAAATTGTTGACACCATTTTGCAACTAATAATAGTGAAGTTAGTGTATGCTGCATTCAGCAGTTTTTCTTTTTGGATGCTTTGTTTAAATGAAGAGCTACAGTACAGTAGTAGATTATTACAGCTTCAATCAATGTTCAAAAATATGTTTTTCATATAATTACAAACAAGCAACCCCAGCCCAAGTGTGGTTTATTTATAAACTAATTTTAGGAGGATCACATGCTTATGATTAAACACAGCTGGTACTGCATCAGCTCCGTATATTGCACCAATCAGACGAATACTGACACACTAGAAATTACCAGAGCTTCCTACTCTAGTCATCTTCGTCTTAAAGAATCCCCCTACCTCCCCTACTCCTCCCCTTCTCTGATGGGGCAGCATGGCGGCCCAGTAGTTAGCACTGTTGCCTCACAGCAAGAACACCGCTGGTTCAGCCCTCTCCGAGGCGGTTGGCATTTCTTTGCGGAGTTTGCATGTTCTCCCTATATTTGCGTAGGTTTCCCCCGGGGTTTTCCAGTTTCCTCCCACCGTCCAAAGACATACACCATAAGTACATTGACTACTTCAAAATAGTATCCTAAGGCAACTCTTAGTCAAATTTATCTTAGCAGTTCACAAGCAGGCTCAAGGATATTCTGAGCTCAGGGCTCTCTTCCAGGACAGCATGTCAAATACGCTTTATTCTCAATCATCAGCTGATATCTCTACCTCAGACATCATGCATCGTTCCTTACCCGAGTCGGTGTTGTATGTTAATGTGTCTCACACTGGGCCACTTTGTCCTGATGTGACTGCAGATCTTCTTCAGTTTAGACTCTGCCATTGGAGCGTAGGCCTCGTATTCAAGCCGGACCACTTTCTTACCCTCGAAATTATCTCTGGTAGTCCCTGCATGAGAACAGTATGTACAGCATATAAATTAATATGCACCTGGAAAAAAAAAATAATAATCGACTCGACACTATGTGTCCATCTATGTTAAGCTGCTTTATTACATATTACATTGCAAAAAAAATTAATTGATTTAAATGAAATGTAAGAAATAAACCAGTTACACTGCAAAAATTGAGTTGATGTCTTACATTTTAAGTTGAGTGAAATCAACTTACATTACATTAGCTGACTTAAAGCATTATATTAAAGTACAATAAGCTGATACATACAGTAATATACTTATCTAAATTGAGGATAATTTAAGTTAAAATAACAAAAAACATATGTTGTCAAGATTTACCTTGATTTTTTTAAATCTGTTTAATTTAATACAAGTTAAAAATGACTTGTAATTTAACTGAACTGTGTATGTACAGTGCAATGTAGGACAGACTGACCAATGAACAGAGAAACAGCACCACAGGAAGGACATGTAACCGATTCAGACACTCTGTCAGCAAAAAGTTTGTCAGTGGTGAGAGTTATTAGATCTCGACCCCCATCGGCAGCCATACCTGTACAAAAAAAAGCAAATATTCATTCATTCATTCATTTTCTTGTCGAAGTTTTTCAGTTTTTACGCAGCTGATGCCCTTCCAGCCGCAACCCATCTCTGGGAAACATCCACACACACATTCACACACACACTCATACACTATGGACAATGTAGCCTATCCAATTCACCTGTACCGCATGTCTTTGGACTGTGGGGGAAACCGGAGCACCCGGAGGAAACCCACACAAAGGTAGGGAGAACATGCAAACTCCACACAGAAACGCCAACTGAGCCGAGGTTCAAACCAGTGACCTTCTTGCTGTGAGGCGACAGCACTACCTACTGCGCCACTGCCTCGCCCAACAAAAAGCAAATATAATATAATATAATATAATATAATATAATATAATATAATATAATATAATATGAAACAAAGGCATTTTGCCACTATCTTTCCAGCTAGTGTGAGTATAAGATGCTATAGATCGTGAACTGATAAGCAATGATATTCTGTTGTGTACAAGAGATATCGCCGAATGCACCAAATTGAAACAAAACAGTGCTATTTATTTGAACTGTGCATCACACAAACTGTTTAACAGTGCAGCAAATCTCCACAACAATAAGGTAAAGAAGATCTGAAATATTATGCAACGATGATCAGGCTAAAAGATTTCCTTCCACAACTCATCAGATTATTCTATAGTTTTGCTGTAGCAACACTAACAGGAACAAATTGGCAGAAGTGTGGAATATTGAAATTGTTAGTCATTTATTAAATGTGCAATGTAATATAATACGATATTTTTTGATAAGTCATATATACTGCATTTGTGTTCTTTGGGGATTTCTTTTGAGGGGGGGGGGGGTGTCATAAATATCTAGAAAAAAAAGTAGGCTACTTTATTAACTATGGCAGTGAGGTTGTTGGATGATGATCTACTGTATAAATGTACAACAGATGAGGCTGTTTTTTTTTACAGATGCTACGGTTTTGTAAATGAAAATAAATTTGAATCTTTATCTTAACTCCTGTTACTCTGAACTCAAGCTGCTCTCAAATATTTATTTCTAATAGACATAACTTGCATTATTAGATTAGATTAAAAAAAAATTCAGTGTGCAAAGTACAATACAGAGCCAATAAAATGTTCAATTTGTAATGTCCAATTATTAATATTACATGCATAGAGCTAAGATATACAGATGAAGTTAAAATTATTTGCCCTCCTGACTTATTAGCCCCCTGTATATTTATTTCCCAAATTTCTGTTAAACGGAAAGAAGACACATTTCTAAACAGGAGAAGGGGAGCGAATAACTGTTGTTGACAGTTAGCTCACAAACTGAGACACAAACCGTGAGGAGACGCATGAGTTTATAGTTCACAAAGTAAAAATACAAAGAAATAAACAGTAATTTAATGCCCTGCTACATTTGTTATTCGTAATTTCATATACACATAACCACAATTTATATCATTATAAAGATAAGTGTGTTCATGTAAATACTATAAATGAGGATTCTCCCTCGATCCCCGTGTCTAAATTATAGATATTGAATGCAGACTCAGTGCAGCAGGTTTCCTGACCCGTCTATTTTAACCATTAGCCCTGCTGGTAATATAGAGGATTTAGGCAAACACAGCAGCACGGCGATGTGTCTGAATGTGAACGAACTCCTGATAAAAGTCAACGTCCGCCATTCTTCAATTCTCGCACTGCTCTCCCAACAAAAATGCTTGCAGCACACACACAGCTTTGCTGTATGATCGGCCCAGACAGGATCGCGGGGAAAAAACATGCAACAAACCCCGTGGATCATGGAAACAAACACATACGAGCCTTCATGAACAGCTATTGCATGCCGTTGGTCTGTGTCTCACAGCTTGCTTAAAACTGGCAGGTCTGCCTTCGGAAAGCACGTGTTCTCATGAATAATTAAGCAGCCGGCTCTTCTCATAGGATAAGAAAACTCCGCTATGAATAATAATGAGAAACCGACGCGTCATCATTGCACTTGCAGTTCTGCGCTACGTCGCCGATTTTGATCCCGGCCCAAAAATCATTTTAAACCCGGAAGCTGAAATTAGCTGACAAAAGCTCAAAATTATCCAGTTTTCCCCACAATTAAAGCTGACAGGTGCTAACATTGTCTTAACTGATGTTCAACACACACAAATCTGTTAATATACCAAAAAAGTTCTCCAGGTTGTCCTGAACCTTTAAACATCATTTGGAAAATAATAAAAAAAAGACATCAAAGATATTCACAGAAGGGCTAATCACTGTGACTTCAACTGTATATATCAAGCATTAAATGTTGTGTTAAAGATGTAAATTTTTACTACTTAAAATCAATAGCAAATTATAATATTTTTTAAAAAGCCACCAAATATTCAAACAAATCAACAAACTTGTAGCCATAAATAATGTTCATGTTTTATAAAATTGTGTACCACTTGTTGTTTCTGTATTTATCATTTATAAAAAACCCTTCTGGGGACAAAAGCTGTAGATTAACTTTGGCTACAAGTACATCTAATATAAAATGAAATCAGATGCTGGTGACACCATCAACAGCCTACACTACTATGTAGCAAAGTCAAATCAAACAGGTGTGAGATTTGCTGGCCACCTCTGGAGTTAGTTTATCCTCCACTGAGTGGCGGGATGATGGCCAGCTCGTCTCCGTCCCTGAGGCTTAGCGGCTGCTCACACAGAGACACAAACTCCTGACGCACAGCCAGAACCACCTTACCCCGCAGCACAGAGAGCCTGAAAACAACACACACACATTTCAGTAATAAATGGTAAGCATGGTATGTAATGGAGAGATGTATAAACATAAAATTAAATTTTACAAACAAAATCGGTAAGAAAAAGAAAAGGTCTTAATTTGTTTTGTTTTTTTCATGATTCAGATCAAATACAGATACTTGATCTAATGTATGAATTTAAAAAAATATCCAGATTTATTACATAAAAAACAACAATTAATAGAATTATTATTCATAAAGGAATTGATAGAATTTTTCAGCAAATTATATTTATGCGTTGCTCACTATTATTCAAATTTACACACAAATCCCATATTTATTAATACTATATAAACAAATAATATATAAAACATATTTATAATTTATACATTAACTAATACATATAATACAACTAATGGACAAATAAAACACTATTTAAATACGATTGGATGGATGGATGGATGGATGGATGGATGGATGGATGGATGGATAGAACAATGTGTAAAAACAACCATTTTAAATGTTCATAATTATTTGTCTTTTGGCTTAATAAAATCATTATTTCTGATTCATAGTTTTCAAAGAAAATACAATAAACAATAAAAAATATATGTATATGCAAATATGTTTGTTCTCAAGTAACAACAAAGATTAATTATTATAATAAAAAAATACATTTATAAAGCTCTCAATTATTTATCGGTAAACATGCACGGAATAATAAATAAATATGCAATTTATGCAATAATAAGTGTACATTAAATAGCAAAAAAAATATTGTGTTTTACAATACAATCATATTAACCATAAGATGGCATCAAGTACTATAATAAACAAGGAAAATTATATATAAATAAATAAAATTATAATAAAAAACTATGTACAGAGGCAATCTATCAAATAAATAATATTTACAAAATCCTTATGAAATTTCACAGATTTTACACTTTTTTGCTGTAAACATTTTGTAAAGTAGTAATTAAACAAGTCACAAAGAAAATTCTGCACATTCGGTAATGATGAAGAAAATTTACATTTGTGAATATAATATTTATGTTTGGTTTGTCATGAGAAAAGTAATAATAACGATCATTATTTTCAGTTAACTAGACTCATGCGTGACGCCTAAATGAACTATCAGATCACATGATCCTTTTTATTCATTTAAAGAGAGCTTTCTAGTTTAACAGCGTTAATTTCATCGCAATGTAACATTAAACATCATCTGAACACACATATAAATGTAGTTTATTAATAATTCACCTTGGGTGTCTGTTCTCCAAATCCTGCCAGAGCTGCACAGACGATATGTTTGAAGGAACGGTAATAATCTCCGCTTTAAGTCCCGTTAATTCGGCACTTTTGGCAAAGTACAGCACCGACACCTGATTAACGAGCAACGTTAAATAAACATCACAGCACAAATCGACAGTTTGTAAAAGCTTAGGACATTCAACTTCATTGACATCATTATCGCTAGCGTAAACGTAAATAGTTTCGTATTTTCGCTCAGCACATTGTTGATCATAAAATGTAAGTGTATGAATGATTTGGAAAGCAGTCTTACCTCGGTATTCATGTATGAATGTTGCGTGAACACATGTAAACTTCAGACTCGCGCAGATCTCGGTTTGTCTTCCTGACAGCCAAAATCTGATTGGTTCCGCTTGAGGTCAGCTGACCCGCGCCCAGGAAACACACACATCACGCTTTGTGTTTATTCCAAGACTCAAACAGCAGCATTAAAATCTCTTAAAGTCACATTTGATTAAAAATTCATACTTTTCCTCCTCATTTAAGCTTTCTTAAAGATTTACCCTCAAAAGACAACATCTTCCTGAGAAGGAATAAAATGTTTGTGCATTTCCACCGTTCACCAGCAGATGTCTCTAAATCCAACATCAAGTCGAGCGATTCATCACGTCTCTCCATAACGCTACAAGGTAAAAACACTTTCTTTATGGCTACCATATTTAGAGACTCGTGCAAAACAACACACTCATGTGTAACCTTTAAAGCGTTTAGTGTTCAAACAAAGAATTAAAAGCAACTGATCATGCGCATGTTCGCCATTATTCAATAGCCGATGGCTGTTTCTGTTCAGTAAGACAGTTCTGTGTGGCTTTCGATCAATGCAGTGACATCTGCAGCCACACACAAACACACTCACACAGCTGTGCAGCGCATGTCCCGTTTCACATTATTCAGTCTTGTTAACCAGACGCTTTGGAGATGTCTGCATTTCTACGAGTTCCCCGATAGAGGGACAACAGACACCGCTTGCACCTCACGCAGATCTGGCAGGCCGTGTTATCATTCACTTCTTCAAATTCGCATCCACTGTTAGCCTATATTGGTTACCAGATCTTATAGTTTTCAAACTAATACTAATCAAGGGCGTTGATGTGCTCTCGTCATTGGTGAGGACAGATATACTTAAAGCTGCATTAAACAGCACAAATTTTGCTTTGAGCTTTAAAAAACATGAATGAAGTACTTAATAATATAAAATAAATACTTAATAATACAAAGAACAATCACATCCCTTGCTGCAAAAGTCAATTTACATGATTTTACTGCAGTCTGGCTTTAAGAATGTATCAATTTAGAGATATTTAAAGAGGTGTGTGATTCAATAAATTTTTCCCCCAAATTTCATTTAATTGGTTAATAGTATAACAGTGAACTCATAGCGAACTTGACTTTATGCACTTGTAGGTTACTACGGGTCAATTAAATTATTGGTAGGGACATTTCAGTAATTGGGCATATTGGTGGGGACACGTCCCCTCCGTTCATGCCAATTCTAATTTTTTATTCACCTGGGAAACTTTAAGAAGACTTAAATGAGGAGGAAAACTGTGAACTTACTGTACACAGTTTCAATTAATTAGAACTTGTATGTTAAGCTGCTTTGACACAATACAGTGAAAAAGCGCTATATAAATAAACATGAATTAAATATTATGGTATATTCAATTTAATTGAAGGGGATATTCAATTCCATTGAATACCAATTTAATTCAATTTCCATCCTATAATAATATTCTTCCCCATAGAAATTAGGCACCACTACTTATCCACAACACATAGGACATACCTTGCATGCAGCCAATGGCATATTGAGCATTTTACTTCTGTATTCTGTATATTTTGCTCTAACTTGAAAACTTGCGAAACGACAGCACGTTCAACAACTTTAATTATAAAATAAACACAAAACATAAGTAAGCCTGTCTATCCAGAGCTTCACAACAGGACTCACCCATATTTGTCGCTGCTATCAAACTGACCAATTCGATTTTGTGCTCTGCGTCATTTCAACATTTTTTTGAGAGGTACCTGTCAGGGTATAGCCGCCTTTCCAGTGCATACGACATTCAAACTTGACTGTCGGAATACACTTCCTTGTGGCAGTCGCACAGAATTTTCAGTTTTGTCGTGCTCCATGGGAGAGAAGCTGATACTTGCAGTGTTCGAAATATAGTAGTGCAAAAGTAAGAGCCTTTAATCTCTGTGCGTTCACCATGGTTGAATGAATGAACTAATGAATACTACACTGTAAACCCCAAAAGTTAAGGTAACTCAAACTATTTGAGGAAACCAATTGCAACAAACCTTTTAAGTTCAAAAACTAATCCTAATGAGTACTGTGAACTTAATCCATTTGAGTACACGAAGCAATTTGATCACAGGAAAACCCAATAAATGAAGAAAACTCAAACCTACTGAGTACTGTAAAACCCAATAAGTTAAGGCAACTCAAAACCGTTTGAGGAAACCGATTGCAACAAACCATTTGAGTTAAAAAAATCTATTTGAGTACTGTGAACTTACTCCATTTAAGTTGAAGTAATGAGGTATTTTATTAACTCATTACCTTCAACACTGAGTTCAAAACTCTTTTCAAATTTAGTAAATGGAGTTAACTACACTCATTTCATTTGATAAAGTTGACTGTTGGGTTTTACAGTTAGAAACTCGCATATCACATCAGGTATCCATTCTCATACGGTCTAGTGGCAGGAGTTTACATCTTTCAATGTATCCGCAGCTCAAATCGAATCCGAATTTTCCACATACAGAGATGAACGGAACTTCTTTGGAAATGAATGACTTCCTGTCTGTCATTTGTCGTGTGCAGTGGAAAATCGGCTTATTGTGAAGGGTATGTAGGGTATGATTGCGTGAAAGCTTCGCTGGCCTGATCGCATTTACTCAAAGTACAAATTGCCCTTAATGTTTAATATATTGCTTATTTGCAAAGTTTTTTTGCACTGTGTTTGGACTTTAGAAAACGCTTTTTTTATTTTCAGCTCAAAAATCAGCCTCAGGGTTTCCTCACACATCCCTGTTTCATACAAAACATACAACAGGTGGATCATGTTGCACTAAGTACAAAACAGTTTTATCATTATTTACACAGTGCTCATGGATGTAACTACAAGACAACAACATTAACGTTATACCAGACGTGCTGTCAAAAAGTTTCTTAGAAACACTGTAAAAAAAAAAATCCATTATTTTATGTTTTTTCCAGCAGCTAGGGTTTTCATTCATTCATTTTCTTGTCGGCTTAGTCCCTTTTATTAATCCAGGGTCGCCACAGCAGAATGAACCACCAACTTATCCAGCAATTTTTTATGCAGCGGATGCCCTTCCAGCCGCAACCCATCTCTGGGAAACATACACACACATACTCACACATTACGAACAATTTAGCCTACCCAATTCACCTGTACCGCATGTCTTTGGACTGTGGGGGAAACCGGAGCACCCGGAGGAAACCGAAGCACCCGGAGGAAACCTACGCGAAGGCAGGGAGAACATGCAAACAGAAACGCCAACTGAGCCGAAGTTCGAACCAGCGACCTTCTTGCTGTGAGGCGACAGCACTACCTACTGCACCACTGCCTCGCCCAGCAGCTAGGGTATCGCAAAAAAATGTAAAATGACGGCAGTTGAATTACAGACATTTACCATAAAATAGCAGACTTTAAATTAAAGAAATTTCCTTACATTTAAATTTCCAGTAAATTTCTGTAATTTACCTTTTGTTATTTTACAGTAAATGTCTGTAATTTAACTGCCGTTATTTAACTTTTTTTTTTTTTTGGAACCTTGGCTGCCAGAAAAGAAACGTAAAATAACAGATTTGTTTTACAGTTGTGAGCATGACTGCAAAACATGAACGGCATTATGTTTGTCTATAGCAAAAATGTAGTAGTAGTAATGCCTTTTTTTGCATGTTGGGTTCTCCTTGCTCACTTGTGAAAAAAAAATCTTGCTATCTGGCGTTTCACTCTAACCACTTCGCCATAAGAGATTCAAGACAACCCTAAGGGAAAATTGAAAGGCTAAAGAGCAATTAGGATTGGGGCTAAGACGGACCGTTTGATTCCAAAATTTTGAAAAAAATAATTCCAATTTCTAATCCTTTAATCGATTCTGAGAATCAATTCCTCTTTGTTTTTGAGATTCTTTACACGATTCTTTATTTTAAACCAGCCCAGTATTAAATAAGCTAAAAGAAAGTTCAGTCAAGTAACTTAACAGCATAAATTCTGCACTAACAATCATTCATTTATTTTCCTTTGGCTTAGTCTCTGATTTATCAGAAGTTGCCACAGCAGAATGAACCACCAATTGTTCTAGCATATGTTTTACACAGCGGATGCCCTTATGGCCATAACCCCGTACTGGGAAACACCCATACAATCTCACATTCACGGACGGCCTATGTAGTTCATTCAATTGCATGCCTTCGGACTGTGGGGGGAAACCGGAGGAAACCCACACAAACGTGGGGAAAATACACACAGCTGAGACTCGAACCAGCAACCTTCTTGCTGTAAGGCGATAGTACTAACCACTGAGTCTCTATGTCCCGTACACTTTATCATGCTAAAATGCATGTGCACAAAGCATGATATAACAATAGCAGGCTTTCAGCAATGTTTTGTCTATGAAAAAGAAAAAGAAAGTTGACTTTTCCTGAAACAAAAATAAAATAAATCCCTTCTGTCACACATCTGTTATCTTTACATGAATTCAGAGTGGAGCTCAAAACTTCTGTTGTGGACTATAATTGTCATTATGCATACAGCATGTAGACTATAACAGCAAGTAGAACTAACTCCATGTGTGCATCAATGTCTTTGTGTGCATTAGGTTTAAAACTTTTCTGACAAGTAAGGCTTAGTAGTCCCTTATTTATCAGGGGTCACCACAGCTGAATGAACCACCAACTATTCCAGCATATGTTTTACGCAGCAGATGCCCTTCCAGCAGCAATCCAGTACTGGGAAACACCCATACACTTTAATATTTACACACCTACTCATATACTATGGCGAATTTAGTTCATCCAATTCACCTAGAGTCATGTCTTTGAGTTGTGGGGAAAACCAGAGTACCTGGAGGAAAACCACTTGAACACGGGGAGAACATTCAAACCCCACACAGAAATGCCAACTGGCCCAGCCAGGACTTGAACCAGTGACCTTCTTGCTGTGAGATGACTGTGCTAACCAGTGAGCCACTGTGCCATCCTTATGTTAACTTAAGCTGGAATAAAGTCTGTGTGAACCAAAAATTGCTGCAGACTTTTATTTCAGTATGATGATATATTTCAAAAATGAAACAGAATATTAAGTAGGGGGCGGGGTTTATTTGTGTCCTTCGGATTTCTGTTCTAGAGTGAAAGCAAACAGTTTGATTTCGATTAAAGATCACTGAAAACTAATAATTATGTTCACATGGTAATAGTGCATTATTTAGATCAAGGATGTCAAACGTAGCCCGCGGGCTGTTTAAATGAGTTTAATGCAACCCCGAAAAATGATTCTGTAAAGTCTAAAAAAAATAGCTGCAAATTTTCAATAAAAGAAACTGCTGTTCTAATTGTGTCCACTGGATGGCAGACAGCAAATTTTTAATTTCATCCGATCCAGAAGCCTGAATCAGCGTCAGTTTGACAGCCTTTTCAGAGAGAAAGACCACATCTATACCCCGTCATAACACACTGAGGTTTTCTCACGAGGAAACATAACTATTGTACATTTTGTCAGTTTAGTGGCTA